GAGCTGACTCAACAGCAGGAAACACACACGATTTCATTGAGTGTAAAAATTTGGAGGTAAAGTCAACTTTGAAAAACTAACCCTGAAATAGAAGTTTGGCACAGAGGCTGAGGATGAGAGCGGCAAGATGAGAAAATAATGCAATTTGCACATAATTCAAAATCTTTAATCATTAGTTTCAAACTTTTCCTCCACTGAGGATTTACCAATTGTGTGACTTGGGGTAAAAAAAGAATTCACTTCCCTGGACTCGTTTTCTTATTGATAACATGAGAGATTTAAACCAGGTAGTCTTGTAATGTCCCTCTCAGTCTTAAATGGGGAAATCACAAATAATCAAGTGATTGTGGCAGAAGGGTGAAGAGACAGACCCCAGGGGACTGTATGGTTTTTAAGGGGGGTATTAGTAAACTGCCTGCATTAGCATAACTACCTAATACTCACCCCACAGTCATTGGCTCCATCTCCACACATGCCCACATAATAACTGCAGGGGAAAGTAAGAAAAATTAATAACAATGCTTCACTTGAATAATTTCTATCAGAGGTAACTCAAATGTGATGTGTGTCTGTGAGAGATAGAGGAAGAGAGAGAAAGTCCTGAAGACATGTGGAATCAGGCTTCAGGAAAATAGGAAAAATAATTCCAAAGGAATGAGGCCATTGTATTAATTAAATTGTTTCCATCAACCATATGGAAGTGGTAGTGATATTGCAGGGATGTCTACAAAGATCATCACATACTTCAAAAGAAGCCCTGCTTTATTATAATCACCAAGATGATGTTTAAGGGTGCATAGTCATAATCATAGCACTTGCCACAGAACCTCATGCATAGATCATGACCTAATCCATCCGTGTTTTGGTTGCTAACTGCTGCTGAGAGTTTGGAGTGAGAGCAGCAGGATGAGAAACATTTGGGAAATAGTTTAACAGATATAACTGGAGCTAGATACACATACTCTTGAAGCATCTTAGAGTGAAAATGAAATAATATGCTTCCATTATACCACCTTGGTGTGCAAACAAAATTATATTAAATAAAAGAGTAAATATTAAAGCTGTTGCTAAAGAAAAAGGAATTTCTGATTCAAGACATACTCTGTCTTCTATTATAAATAAACTAGAGGCTTGGTGCACGAATTCATGCACCAGTGGGGTCTCTTGGCCTGGCCTGCAGGATAGGGCTGAAACTGGCTCTATGATGCACACTGACCACCAGGGGGCAGACGCTCAACACAGGAGCTGCTGTGATGCACAGTTGCCGTTTACAGAGAAACAGCAGTATGGACCTGGCCAACAAAGCAACACTTGGCTTCCCCCAAGTGGGACACAGGCCCCGCCACCACCCCAGAGCAACAGCCCACCAAATTGCAGCTACCGCTGCCAAGACCCCATGACCAGCCTGGAAACATGTCACTGTGGGCTCCAGGTAATGACTTCATCTAACAAAACCTGGCTTCTTCTCCCTAGTGACTAGCGTCCCTGGAATTTCTTCAGCCCAGGAACACTACTTGCTTTATAGCCAGGTGGAAACATCTTACACTTTAACCAAATGTCTGTGAAGTGTTTTCCCATGCCTCATTTGATCCTCACAGAAGTCCTGGAGTAGGTAGATAGGAGACTTGGTAGAATCCTATTTTCTTTTCATTAGCTGAAAAACGGAGATTTAGAAAGTTTAGAAACTTTACCCAACTGACCTGCCAATTACCTGAAAGAGAGGTTGGGGTGCTTCACTGGTCTGGAAAAAGATTAGCTAAACCAGAAAGCAGGACTAATTAAGCAAGTTTATTCTATATCTATAAAAGGCAAGTTGACTTTCGCAGGTGCGATACATATAAAGCTCTTGTTGGCACCAATTGCATGCATGTGTTCCTATCTGCCATTGTTGATTGTGAATTTGGTTGACACTTCTATTATAGAGAGAGGGCGAATAGCAATACTAAAAGATTTCTTCTCATTCATTTCCTTTCAATGTTCACGAATTCTAGCATTAGGCCACTAGTATTATATAATGGCCATGTAAGTGAAATAATCATTTTAGACACTGGTTACTAACCCAGACTCAAGGCATTATGGGAGCTAATGAGCAGCTTTTGAAATTCCCCCAAGAATGTGGGCAACAAAAAATAATAGTAAAAGCAGTCTCCTGCTTTAATAATATTAAATTTAATATTTTAATATTAAATACTTTAATATTAAAATATTTAAATATTTAAACTATTTAAATATTTATCAGTATTTTTTTTAAAGTTTCACTATTCTCTATTCCTTTTCACTTTTCAGAAATCCATAGCCCAGAAATTGTAACATTCCCAGGAAGTAATAGTTAAGTTTGGACTCAAGAAGGACCATTTCATTCTGATGTGACATGGTCATCCTTATTTTTAATAAATAAGAAAGGACTTTCTTTTCTTTTTTATTTTGGCCTCTACACCCACTCCCTGCCAGGGCCAGGTACAGTGAGAATATCTTTCACCTTTTTCAAGAAAGATGTGAAATCATTTATGTATCTTCTAATGAACCCACCTCAAATAATTCCAGGTGAGAACTCATATACTTCCTCATTTTTTCCCCATTCTGAGCTATAGAAGCCCTTCCTGTTTGTATTCTCTATATCCAAGCAGGCAATCTTCCTCTAAGATATGCCTTGTGGGCCACAGAACAAATGTTCTTTGGGACAGCGAGCTTCTGAAATGTCCCTCAGGGATCCCCATCTCCTGGTACTTGGGGTATTGGGTAATGCTCTTCCTTGAGTGTGGCTAGACCAGGGGTGGGCAAACTTTTTGACTCGAGGGTCACAATGGGTTCTTAAACTGGACCGGAGGGCCGGAACAAAAGCATGGATGGAGTGTTTGTGTGAACTAATATAAATTTAAAGTAAACATCATTACATAAAAGGGTACGGTCTTTTTTTTTTTTTTTTTTAGTTTTATTCATTTCAAACGGGCCGGATCAGGCCCGCGGGGTGTAGTTTGCCCACCCCACGGCTGGGCTAGACCTAGTGAGTTGCTTCAAATGAAGGGGATATAGAGAAAATTATAGGATGTCATTTCTGAGACAGAGATATAAAAAATGTTGATCTCTCCTCTCTCTCTCTCTCTCTCTTCTTCTTTGCTCACTCTTATGGAAGCCAGTGGCCACATTGTGAGCTTCCTTGTAAAATGATTAATGTAGCAAGGAACTGAGGGTGGCATTTGTCCAACAGCCAATGAAAACAGAGACTCAGCCTAACCAGCCTCAAGGAACTAAAATCTACCAGCAACATGTGAGTTAGGCTGGTGGCAGATCCTTCTCCCTTAAGTACTGAGATGTCTGCAGTTCTGATGGACACCTGATTAGAGCCTTGTGAGAGACCTGGAGCCAGACAGAGCGTCATCTGAGCACACGTGGATGCCTGACCCACAGAACTTCAAAATAATAGATAGCATCATTCTAAGTTTTGGTGTAATTTGTTACACAGTAGATAATGAATACACTATCCTTTCATGCAATAACACCTACTTTAATTTCTGAAATTCTTCAACAAGGCTTGATTTTTGCCCAGGAGACATTCTTGCAAAAATGGTTCCATTCACCAGAATCTAAAGAGAAAAACAACTTTTGCAATAAGCTTAGAAAGAAGAACACTTCCACATAAAAGGACAGCCCTGAAAAATCATTTCTGGCCACTGTTTGAATATAGCATTGGGTCGTGGTCATTAGACTAAATGTCAGGAAAGGGAATAAGGGGATTTAATGCTTTAATCTGTAACTTTCATTCTCAGTCCTCTATCACAACTCTATTAATTCTTTCCAGGCCATTTTTCCCAGATGGGTTAACCTCTAATTAATAATAACAACTAAGAAGCAGTGGAGCATATGGGATAAGAGTGCTTAAGGAAATACAGAGTTGTTGTGTTTTCTTCTGAACTCTGTCTCCACACTAGTAGCATAGACAGAGAAAGGAGCAATAAATCTAGAGTTGAGAAATAAGCTTCTATTCTCAGCTCTGTCCCAATTAGCTGCACAAACCATCAACAAGCGACTTAACCTCTCTGAGTCTCAGCTTTCCCATCTCCACAATGAGGAATTGGACTGAGCTTTTTGGAGGCCTTTGGGGACTAGATTCTATGGTCCTGGACTGGGAAGATGACAGAATTTCAAGACATGGAGAACAGATGGCTGCTGCCCTGGGCTTGTGTGCCACTTGTCTCCTTCACACTGACAGCACAGTCCTGCACAGCAGTATTTTAAAATAGACACACACACAGGACAAGATAACAAATGATTTTGAAAATAAACCATGGGCTTTTGTTTCCTCCTGTTGTAATTCAAGAATCCAGGCAGGAAGAGGAATAGAGCTCATCATGACATGAGTTGGTAGCTTTTAGGAATGTGTCTGGAACTATCCAGACAAAATAGGAATGTGTCTGGAACTATCCAGAGGGTCTCCTTGCTGGGGAAGGAGAGAGGAGGGAAGCTGGGATTGGACTGGCCACGCGGCGAGAGGCTATACCAGAACTCAAAACACCAAGAAGAGGTCATGAGCATGTGCAGGACTGGGTGGATGTGGGCAGGGCCAGGAAACTTCGGTGCCCCTTTGGGGACCTTTATTCTCTAGCTCTGAGACAATCTCAGTGATGTCACCTTCACTACTCTATTCCCCTTTTATGCCTCACTAATTTGAGGAGGAAAACAAAACACTTCATTTTTCCAGTACTCACTTTTGGAAGCAAGCTGTTGAAATGCTGAAATAGCACTTGGTATGATTTCCCACTCATTGCAAAATGATAACAGTTCCCTTGTTCTTCAGGAAGCACTGAACTTTTTCCAATGTTAATGTAGGTTTCCTAAAATCAAAAGGCATCATTTCCATGTGAGCTCTTAAAGGACCCTCTGTTTTCCTATGTTTTCTGGAAGGAAGTATATTCATGTGAGGCTCGGCAAACACTTAATGTATAATTTGCCCATGGAACTTATACTTCTATGGTGAAAACCCTCAGAATGTCTCCCAAAATAATATATGAACATGAAATACTTTGACAACATGATGCTCTGGATCCTATCCTGGGAGATAATATGTGTGATGTCATTTTACCTAGGAAATCATTCTGAGGTACCAGTCAGTGATTCTGAGAAGAGCAGGCAGGTTCTTCTCTCCTCTTCCTTCTTCCCATCTTGCAACCTTTTATTTCTTAAGATAACTTATGATTCATTCCTTCAAAAATAATCTTACACTCCACACCAGGGGTGGGCAAACTTTTTGACTCGAGGGCCACAATGGGCTCTTAAACTGGACCGGAGGGCCGGAACAAAAGCATGGATGGAGTGTTTGTGTGAACTAATATAAATTCAAAGTAAACATCATTACATAAAAGGGAACAGTCTTTTTTTTTTTTTTAGTTTTATTCATTTCAAACGGGCCGGATCCGGCCCGTGGGCCGTAGTTTGCCCACGGCTGCTCTACACTGTAAAATTCTTCTTTTAGCTCCTGACCTCTCTCCACCAAGGAAGGTGCCCGGATCTTCCACACCTTATGTTCCACTGCAAAAGCACGACTCCTTTTCTGAAAGCCTTTCCCCCTGTCTTTCACCTGTCAATGTCCTCCACCCCCGACTGTGTTCCAGTCCCACAAGAGAGCATCTGATGAATGCGCATGCACACCTCATGCCAATAGGTGATAATGGTTTTTCATGTGACATTTCTCAGAGGACCTTACATTTACATAGGTCTCTAACATTCAAATAATATAAAAGGTGAGAAAATGTTATTCATTAGAGGTATCTATCTTAGGGAAGGCATTGTACTTGGAAGAAAAAAACATTTGATGTGCCAAATTGGAAGGCAAAGTGCAACCCTTTACAACTCCCATTAGGAACCAGCCAACAGAAAGCCATGCTCTGAAGCACACCACTTGAGGCAAGGACAGGACTCCTTCTGCTTTTACTAGATTGTGGGGAGAGGAAGTGTGTTGATGGGGAGCCAGGGAGAGGAGGAAAACCCGAGGCTGTGATGTGACTTCTTCCAGCAATGACCAAAACAAATGGGTAGCGTGAGTGGACTGTTTGTTAAAAATTAGTGAGGACCTGAGTATCGTCACACAGTGAAACTGAGGCAATAAAAATTGATGTAGAACTCTGCTGAAAGCATAAAGGAAGCTGTCATCTTCCACAGCCCATGCAATGGGGTTATCTTCACACAGCAGGGGCAGGACCACTCTGTACAGTGGTGCAGTTTGTCTACTGAACAAGGACCTTCTCTACAGTTAACAATCCAAAAGGCTGGTCAGCCTAGAAGAAGAGAGCATCCTTGTAATTTATCACCTGGGGGGCCATCTCTCTGAATTTACACAGAGAAAGGTGGTGCATTCAGTGATGGGATGGCAGGCTGCAACCATTTCCTTCACATGAAAAAGCTGTTCTGTCACAGGCACACAGGGACCTTACTCTCGAGAGAAGCCAACACCTGCCACCTACATGTCACAGGTACAGAACAATCTAAATGCCCATGATTTGGGTGGAATCAAACAGACCCAAATTTGATATCCTGCTCTGAAACTTGCTAGTTGTATGTCTTGGACAAGCTTACTTCCCTAGGCCTCAGTTTTCTCAGTTGTAAAATGAATAGTTTACTCAATTGTAGGGTAACTGTGAGTATTAAGTGGGAATTATGGATTTAAATTGGTGATTCTCAACCATGACTGAACATTAGAAACACCAGAAGGAAGGGCTGATGCCAGCTCCCAGGCCAGAGGTTCTGATTTAATCAGTAGAGCCTTGGCACTGGCCACTTAATCATCCTCCAGGTTATGTCTACATCTAGCTGGTGCTGAGAAGTGCTGGTGGAAATGCTAAATGTTTTGCAAACTGTAAAGCTCTGGACAGATGTGAGGATTATTACTGTGGTAACTTGTGATGCCAAGAGAAGGCTGCCCAGGGCCAGCACTGTATCTATCAGCTCAGGCCACGGAGGGGCCTTTTAATGTTTGCTCACATTCTGCCCAGGTCCATTCTCTTGGTTTTCAACCAGCTTCCAGGTCACAGAAGCAGGAACAAATTCTTCTGGTTCATTGGCCTCAACGAGGATCACTTGGTTCCCTTGAGGAATCATTTCAGAGTTTTTTGCAACAGTAATGGCTGTTTGCAGGTTGTCACCTAGATGACAAAGAAAGTCAGTTTGCTTTATGTATAAACCTCTCAGCAATCAGAATTGAGCTCCTCCTCTCCTGAGTGTCCATACTACTTTGTTGGTGTTCTTTGTCAGCATTTATTGCTTTCCACCTTATTTTATCATCATTTATCTTCCATTCTGCCTCAGTCTGTCTGCCCCTAGTGGTCAACTTCTGTCTGCATTTCCTTCCCACCATAGTTAGCATTCTGGTATCCTGAATATTGCATATTTCCAAAAAATGCACAATGAATAAATAAGTGGTGGTCAATTTATGACTAATCCCAGGAGACTGACAGCTCTTAGTGGTGGGGTAACATGGTCCAATCTGATAGCATAAAACCATCCTTGGGATCTGGATTCCAGTTAAGCAGAGAAAAGAACACTTAGCGCTGGGCCATGTTTCAATTTGATTATCAGGTGCCACGCCTATCACCACTGCCTTGAAGGACAGTCCAGCAGAGTCTCACACCCTTTACAAGGAGGTCTATTGGGGTTATTGATGAAAACACATTCTTGTGTTTAAGCATTTACTGTGAATCCCTTAGCAGTACACTGATTTTGGGTAGAAAGAATAGGCATTAGACAAAGAAAAGAAGATATAGTAATTGCCTCCAAAACTAACAGTGGTGTTGGGGGAGCTACACATGTTTCCAGGTAACTGTACTACAGGGTGACAAACTTGACAGCAAAGCATCTTTCTTTCTGCCTCAGTCATATGAACTCAGCTCACACAGTATTTTTCTTATGCCCAGGAGACATTCAGCTTATCAGGCCTCCAGACACACATACCAGTAATCATCACAGTCCTGATGCAGGCCTCTCTCAATTCCTTCAAGACGGGTTTGGTTTCCCTTTTCAAGCGATTCTCCATTATAAGAAGTCCCAGAAATGTTAACTCTGACTCCACCTTCTCTCTATGGATTCAGGAGAAAGTGAATATTAAGGCTTATTTATATAGCCTCAAGAGTTGGATTTATTTCTTGTTTTTAAAATTTCTAAGTTTTATCAATGTACTACGTGCTCATCTATATATATAAAAGGCTAATATGCAGAGTGTCCCCTCAGGAGTTCGATCAGTAGACCAGGAGTTCGATCACTTGCTATGATGTGCGCTGACCACTAGAGGGTGACGCGGAACAAAGGCAGGCCCGGCCAGCAGCCAGCAGCTGGGGAAGGAAGACCTCAGCTGGCAGCTGGAAGGCCCTGATCAACCCTGATCGCTGGCCAGGCCTAGGGACCCTACCCATGCACAGATTTCATGCACCAGGCCTCTAGTGTTTAATAATTCAAAAAGAACCCAAAAAACTTATAATGAAAACTAAAAGACCATGTTTTCACACTGCCCTTCTACTCAGAGGCAGCAACCACTTTTATATCTTATGGCTGCCTTTAGTTTTCAATTCCATTTTTTAAAATAATGTGATTATCTTCCAACTCTTCTGGGTTTTAAAAATATTGTTAATCATTTATATTTTTCATTTCCAAGACCTTTTTTGAGCTTAAAGTAATTTCAATTTATTACACATGTGTTAAGACATACTGCATACAGGATACTATAGTAATAGTTGAATATGCTATTATTCATTTCAACTTCTATTTGTAACCTGATACATGATATTAGCCAAGGATTTGAATAGTTTTCAGAATTTGAAATTGGAGGCTTGAAAATATAATTCAACGTTGGATAAGAACACTTCTATCTGGAGTAGAATTTAAGTTGTTACATCCTTCCTTCAAAAGTCCATTCACTAAATAACTACTTGATTTTAGATCTTGTATTAGGCACTTTGGTGAATACTCAGATAAACAAATATAAATCCTTTCTTAGTGATCTCAGAAAATATTATAAAAGAAAAGGTACCTTAATATAGAACTTGTTGAAGTCCCATCATTTAACTTCATGAATTTCCATTATAAATTGGATTACTACTTTTTTCATTAACTAGAACTAAAAGGAAGATACAAAAACTTTCTCACTGATTAATTCTGGTTTTCATCCCTACTTTATAGCTCTTCTCCTTGTGCACCATTTCAGGCACTCTGGACTTTTGTGACTCTATAACATTTCTAGCAAAGTCCTGTATAAGGACCCTTGTGTCCACTATTTCTATTGCCTGCAAAGCTTTTCCTCTGGATAGCTGTATGTCTTTCTCCCTCACTTTACTCAAATTTCTGTCCAAAGCTTGCCTCCTCAGAGGACTTCCTTGATCACCCCATGGGAAAGGTGTCCCCTGTCATTTTTTAAAAATACTCTCAACCTGCTTTATTTTTCCCCTCTGTGCATTTTTTACTACTTGACAATATTGTATAGGTCTATTTTGTATACATATATATTATCTATCTGTCTATATACATATATTTTTTTATTGCTTATGTATATTTTATTATCTATTTTCCCCAATTAGGATTTAAGCTCATGAGGGCAAGGATTTTATTCTATTCACTTCTGAATCCTCAGTGCCTCAAAAAGCATTTCACACAGTCAAGCTCAATAGAACATTGCTAAACCAATAAAAGGAGACATCTTGATCAAATATTTTTTCTGTTTTATAGCTTGTGTTTTATTTTCTAAGTCATCTCATAAAACTCTTCTATTTCCTTTTCTGATGGCAGTTTTTCATTTTCTAATTGGAAAACTTAACTAAATATGATTTGATCCTAAAAAATATCAAAAACCCTATCCCTTTATCCTCTTTGAAAATAGTAACTAAATTCCAAGAAGCATACTAGACGCCTGAAATTCTCTTAGAAATCTGAGATGGCTAGAAATCTAGCACATTTTATCCTTATTTTTTTATTTTGGTATGTTTAGAATAAAGTCTATCTCAGTAGCAGCTTTTAAATAAGAACATCACAGCTGTCTTTGTCTGTGGCAGCTGGGTGGTGGCTGTGTTCCATGTCAAGCTACATAAATCTTCCTTTCACACGTGATCTTAATGTTCGTTATTAAAATTTGTGTCTTGAAAAATTATACAATCCTGTGTGTGATGGGTCTTTATGCTTGCTCAAGAATAACTAACACCTTGAGTGTTAAACCTGAGAGTGCCATTCATACATTGCAAAATGAGCTTTGTGGTTCTATTTAGAAGATTAAAATGTCATGGCTGAAAGGCTCCTTTGGGACCATACAATCCTGCATTTTACAGATAGGAGAAGTTGACACTGTAAGAAAGGGGCAATGATTACTGATTACATTACAGTAGATAGACTTACGTTGTAAATACTAATGTTGAAACAAGAATATCCGTATCTTTTGTAGGGGAGCTAATTTTACATAAAGTATATATCGGCCACACAAAACCAAGGATAAGTGATACATAGATGATTCATTATTTAATTTTTCACAGTATTTCTCTACTTCTTTGTCATAGAAAATTCAAAAACAGCCTTTAAAAATTGAGAAACATTTAAAAAGATCTTCGGATTATCCTCTAATGAGGACAGTTCATCCCTGTAATGTAATGAAGGATACTGAATTATATTTCATACTAGGGTCCCTTGGCCTGGCTGGAAATTGGGCCGATGGGGGGAGGGGAGGTGTGCGAGGACCGCGGGAGGTTGGCTCTGGGACTGCACTGACCACCAGGGGGCAGCTCCTGCATTGAGTGCCTGCCCCCTGGTGGTAACTGTGGCATCATAGTGACCAGTCGACAGGTTGTTTGGTCAACTGGTTGTAAAGGTCACTTAGGCTTTTATATATATAGACTAGAGGCCCAGTGCACAAAAATTTGTTCACTCGGAGGGGA